GGAATTGCTTGGCCTCACCGACTCGGTGTCGTTGTCTACTTCCGCGAACACGGTCATCTGGGCCCTCACCCCGTCCGGCAAGTTTACGGTTAAGTCTCTGTACCGTAGGTTGTGTCAGGGCCCGTCCTTCCAGGTGCCGAAGGGCTTGTGGAACTCGCGCCTTCCGCTTAAGATTAAGGTGTTCTTTTGGCAATTGTTCCGCAGTAGACTGCCCACGTCCGCAAACGTCGCCAAACCCAACGGCCCGTCGACCGGCTTGTGTGCGATATGTAACGTCACGGAAGATGCGAACCACGTTTTCTTCCGCCGCCCCCTGGCGCGTTTTGCCTGGAATGCCGTGTGGCGGCCAACACCTCCTGGGACCCTCGCTCGGCCGTCGACCTCGCGGCCATAGTTGACTCGGTGCAAGGAGGCAACAAGCGTGTGCTTTGGAGTTGCTTAGGAGCCTTGGCATGTGCTATTTGGCTCACTGGGAACAAACTAGCAATCGAGGGAATCTTTCCATCTCACCCTGCTAACATAATTTACAAATGCAACCTTCTACTGCAGCAGTGGAGTCCGTTGGCGAGACGCAAGGATGCTGAAAAAATGAAGCAAGCTCAAGATCGTCTCCGTCAGGTCTACGTTTTGGTTAGGGAGCCATCCGCCACTTCTACGTCGTGAAGTGGATCTTTTGTCTCGCGAGCGAGCCTGCGTGCTCTATACTCTGGACTTTGGCCTGTAATAGACTCGTTGCGTACTTCCTTTGGCCTGTTCTAAACTTCTCGTGCCTTCGCGTACGCGTGGCCTGAGCCTCCGCGCTCGTTTCGATGTTCTAAGACTACTCTGTTACGCTGCCTAAGTTGTGGGCTTTATTAATTTAAAGCTGGACGCTTCTAGCGTCTATGTTCTAAAAAAAGTTACAACAATTGAAACTTAAGATTTACTTTGCCCTTGTGCGGGATCCTACTTCACGAATCGCGAAACAATCAAGCGGCTGGGCAATGCTTGACAAGTGTGTGCCCCTGCGTCGGTGCACTTACAGCTTGAGAGGAGGGAGTACTTTTTTTCTGATGTATTGAAGAGTGAGTACATTATTATATGACTTGATCCGTACTGACAATATTTGGCATCTGAGCCTGGCCAGCCGCAATCAGTTTGCATGCAATCTCTCTCCACGCATTCCACGCTGCGCGTTTTCCACGAGGGACTCGTACGAGACGGAATAACCCATACCAAACTTCTGGCTCTAGCAAATGATCCTTCAGCAGCCTCCTCCGGCTCCCGTGTGTCAGTGTGGGCCACAACAAGTACAGAAATAACACTTGTGGCACTAGCTGTCAAAGCCCGAACACTCAGGCTTTGATACAAACGGTTCAGGCCGCTGGATCGTCGAGACGACCCTCATCCAGATCTCGGGCCTTCGCATTTCTTGCGCACGCAGAACACTTCCGCATCTTTCTCCCCCGCCAATAGTGAAAATGATTCTCTTTCCTGGGACAGCATGCACTAAGCGTTTGCTAAACTGCAATATGGAGGCGGGACTCCAACCAGAATTGGGGTCTATTTTGCAGCAGTTTGATTTACAGCCGAATTTTTGTCAAGTCCACCTGGCAGGGGCAACAAAATGTTCCGCTTCTCTATTCAGTTCCTTCTAAAATCTCAGCCCACACTTGCAAATGACATATAATCATGGCCTTTTGCGCGAAGGCATAATACTCATGACCACAAGAAAGTAAGGCAGATACAAACTGTGGTAATGGTGTAGAGATATATAACGAGGCAGGCTTGTCGGTGGCCACAACTTTCATTAAATCAACAGCACAGTAAGTGTGAAGGTACTAAATGGATATAAGTGTGTAACACATGAGGTGGAGTAGCAACCACCATCAAACGTTTTTACCAGGCAACGGTGTAAGCATGACCACAGTTATATTCAAGCAATAACAGACGTCTGATAATTGCATGGAATTCAAGAGGCACTAAGGCAGCAGACAAGCGACTGGTTGTGGTGCCTGCAAAGGCGGAGCTATGTAGGCCCCCCAACATTGAACCAAGTTGTGAAGAAAAAAATTATGAGGGCTTATATGAGAATTGTTTTAGCCTTCGCCCCCACCCCAAACAATTCATATTTTACCTTCCACCCCCCACCCCCAGCTGATTCTGTCTAGCTGCACCACTCGGCGCCTGAGTCATCTCGTAACATATAGATCAAACAGAAAGGCGTTCGTGGTTCATTAAATCGACCACTGTACAAAATTTGTACGGGTGGGCTTCAAATGTATTCATGCATGCACATCGGAGGATCAAAAGCATCCATTGGAATGCCTAAAATCATTTTTTACTTTGCAAAATGGACAAATGCCATATATTAAGGACCTGTTCGGATCTCCTCCAACTTAACAAAACTCCACAAATCGAGCTTCTCTTCTCGGCTTCTTGCTCCACTAGTAGAAAGGGGGGCAAAGGTCCAGGCCGGGTCAGCCCATTAGTCCCGGTTCAGTCCAGAACCGGGACCAATGGAGGCATTGGACCCGGTTCGTAAGCACAGGGGGCCGGCCGGGCCACGTGGGCCATTGGTCCCGGTTCGTCTGGACCTTTGGCCCCGGTTGGTGGGACGAACCGGGACCAATGGGCCTCGCTCCTGGCCCACCCCCATTGGCCCCGGTTGGTGGCATGAACCGGGACCAAAGGCACCCCTTTGGTTCCGGTTCATGCCACCAACCGGGACCAATGGTGGTGCCTATATATACCCCCTCGCGCAAGAGCAGAGCACACTGCTCTGTTTTTTCTGGCCGAGGGGGAGAGGGCTTGGTCGTGCTCTAGCTCACCTCCTATGCACACAAGGTGTTCGATGGAATGCCCGAACCACAGTACTTAAGCTTTCTCCTCTCCAAGCTCGACCTTCAAGCTTCATTTTCCTTAATATTTGTCTAGGTTTAGCGGTCCGTCATGCCCCGTCCCCGTCTTCACCGCCGTCGATCACCCATGCCGAGCTCATCGCCGGCACCACCGTGGTGAGCCTCTTGTTCTTATCTTCTTTCTGAAAAGAAAAAATATTCTTTCTTGTATGTTTACATAGATACTTGTATTATTTTCTTACTTTTATTATTGCATTTTATATAGTGCGATGGTTTTGGTATCCGCCCCCATCGGCCCTCGTCCTGTCTATAATTCGGATGTGGTATATATATTATCTTTATAACTATTGGTTCATTTATTGTTTATGAAAATTATGCCGACCAACATGACATAGATTTTATTTATCTAGGATGTATGTGAACCGGAAATTCCAACCGACCCTATTGTCGAGAGGTTAAATTTAGTTGAAGAAGAAAACAATTTCTTGAAGGAAAAAATAAAAAAAATTGAGGAGGAGAAGATGATATTGGAGTTGCATGTTGCGGATGTCGTCGATGATCACAAGATCAAGATGGATGCAATGCGCTTGAAGATTAGAAAGATTAGAAAATATGCCGTTCATACCGAGGCTTGGTATCATTATGTCGTTGGATCAATTGTTACCTTGGTTGCAATTATGATCGCATTTGTTTTCGCATTGAAATGTTTTACATAGTTTCAATGTATGGTTTAATTAATTAGATGCTCTGGAGAGCTATATGTTGTTAGATGAGAACTACGTATGTACTTTGGTTTTAATGTGATGATGAACTTCTATTAATTTGGACACTTAATTATATATAAAGCACGCAGATGAACCGGCAATGGATGTACGGTGGCAGACACACCTCCGAGTACATTAAGGGCGTGCATGAGTTTCTCGATGCGGCTGAGGCAAACAAGCAGAATGGTTTTATGTGTTGTCCATGCACTAAATGTGGGAATA